CAAGCCTCAACCTCCTTCGCTACTAACTTTGGCAGTGCTTCTCGTCCTCTTCCACGTCACTCCACGTACAACACTTCAGGACTTTTTTAAAACCATGTAAACACTTAAGATAATTGCTGAGTTCATTAAATCTCTTTAAACTTAACACCACGTGTAGTTCTTCTCGTTTCCGGGCGGTCCCTCCCCACTTACGTCACCCGTTACGTCACCCGTTCCCGTCTCCCCTTGGGCGATCCGTCACCCCATTCGTTTCCGTTTCCGGTGATTTGCTATGGGAACAGGAATATATGAATATATAATACATGCATAAATTATCGTGACCCTATACATAGACATACGTTACTACTAATCTTCTAGACCCCTTGCAGTACGTCGGAATGTAGCTCAAATCGGAAGACATAACAATAGGTTTTCAATTCTCAGAAGATTAAAATTAGTTTGGGTTGTCCTTCAAATAATGTCATATTCAAGGGGTCTGTTCTGGGCTGTACTGCTTTCCCGTGCACTTCAGATCGTTTCCCTTGGTTATCATTCCTGTAAAAGGATATGTACGCATATGTTGCATAACGTCAATTAGCAATAATATTAATCATATCTGCTTTTTTTATTGTAAAACTAAGCACAAGAAAACGTAATACGTATTCCTGCCTAAACGCGACTGAGATTGGCGTGGTAATTATAACGTAATATAACAGCAAAAGTACAATCAAAAATATTTAAATATTTTTATTTTCTCTTTCGTATTTAATAACATGCTGCTCAAATATTTGGATCACATGTAAGAGGCCTAAGAGCGAGTTGCCCTTGGAAAATTCTTTTTGATAATCTTGGGCTGTTTTAAATCGATTATTATCAGATATTCCCTGATGCTACAGTGTTGGGCAAAAGATCCTTGCAATCGTCCGGATTTTCCAACGTTATGTGAGCTTTTAGGAGCATTAGCCAAAGATCATCAGGTACGTATGGTTTGTCTCTTGGAACTCTGACAAAAATTGTTTTATAGGATTAATTTCAGTAATTATAAAATTTCTATGGAACTGTTTTATTTATCTTGTTTAACAGAAATACTTAAATCTAAAGGAATACGACCAACGACTCTACGTCAACGTTCCTACCGTCAATGAAGAAATGAGTGATTAATTAGCCATCTAGGTACTACCGTCTTCATAGTTATGCAGTGGGACGCCTTTCCATACAGAAAAAAGTACTAGTCATTTAATCATATCTAGGCTAAAAGCCGGCCCCCAAACGCTTTATTTATTAATCAAATCCCCAAAACTTGATATCGGAGACCCGATCGTGATAACAAGATCAACCAATGAAAGACCCTGCAGCCAGAGAGGCAAACAGCTAATTTTGAATTCCATTACAATATGAGTGCTCCAGTTATTTAAACTATAATCCTAATGTAAGTCTAATGTATTTTTATATATCTAGTTAATGGTGAGCAAGAACTCCAGAAGGAAATCTATATAGGCAGAAGGAGTAGATGTGTGTTTACATCACATTAGAGTATATAATCTGCATTTTTATTCAAATATTTCAATTCCAAAATAAAAAGTCAAACCACATGAATAAATTTCCTCTTAGCTTAACTGTCTTCATAGAACATATTCCTGAGAGCTAATCACTATAGATACGCAGTATGGAAAGTACTTATGAGAGCTAGCGCTCATGGAAAAGGGGGAGGGGAAACATAATGTCACGAGAGAGAAGTGGGGAGTGATACTTCCCTACGGACACATAGATTTCCTCCCGAGTCGGTCTGCCTTCTGTTAAGGTTTTATTCGGCTTTTTTGTACAATGCTTGTTTAGGCTTCTTCTGCTTCTTCTGCTTCTAGCTCTGAACTAAGACTAAGACTAACTAAACACTGTGCTTCATGCACTTAAATAAGTGTTGGTCAGATTGAGGAGATGACGTCAAGCAGAAGCTTGATTGGCATCTCCCACAGTCGTTTCCATTGGCTAGCTAAATGTAACACCGCGGTCAAATGTCTGCGCATGCGTAGCACCATGCTAAGGCGCGCCATATTTTTATTTGTAAACATTAGCATATTGTAGGACGGATGAGTTCAAAGTCGATTTATAAGAAATTCCCTGGATATTTAAGCTCAATATTTTCCGTATATACTCTCTGTCATATCCTCAAACTATTCTCGGTTTACACTTTTTTTATTCGTTTTACATTTTGAGAAAAACGCAATGAAAG